GGTTCTGTGGTCTCAGTGCCAGCCCACGGCAGGGAAGCAGGCCTGTCTCGAGCTGGCAGCTTCCCTTCTCTGCACCCCCATGCTCTCTGTAAGTGAAGGACCCATCTTGCGGACAGTTAGGGGAGTCTGAATAAGCCCCATATTTGAAAGCCCCCTGTGTGACACCCAGTGTAGCATGGGGACTCAAGCTTAGCAGTGTCTTGGCTGTCACACATTTGTTGGGAGAAGACCGGAGTTGGTAGGTGCCCCAGAGGAGGACAGGGCACTGGCCTTGAAGCTCCAAAGGAAGTCCAGACTCATGGGGCCTCTCAGGGACAGAGAGGGCTGCTGTGTCCCCCAGAAGGCCTGTCATGCCAGGAGACAGCCATGGCCTTTGTCTTGTGAACAGAGGTGGCCCTCTCGTGGGCGGCAGGGATGGGGGATATCAATTGGTCTGCCTGATGGTCTCTTCCCTCTGGAGCTCCTGTTGGTTCCATCAGAATTACAAAAGGATAAATCACGCCCAAGCCACAGGTCAGTGGTCAGCTCTTTGAAGAAGCAGGAACTGGGGGCTGCAGAGGGGACAAGATTGATTCCCTGCAGGTGGCACTGAGTGACCTGTAACCCCCATCCAGCCAGCCAAATCTCAAGGTTCATTGCCAAAAGGGGAGACAGGGAGAGGGGCTGCCACTCTCTGAATAGTTTCAGGAATGAGTGCCCTGCTAGATGCCAGCATGCTAGGGCATTCCTGTGACAAGTGCACACCGTGCTGTTTCTTGGGTAAGGTGAGGTTAGGGAGTAGCAGGGGCTGACTCTGATGCTGCCTTGTCCTCTGTTGAAGTTGAGGGCTCTTGAGTTGACATCAACTTCTATTTTTCCTTCTTCAACCTTAATTTTAACCGACATCTGACCATCTGGGCTGGATGTGGCCACCACAAGCAGGTTGAGTGGCAGACCTGACCTTGGTCACACATGCACAAGAGGGCCTGCTGGCATAGGGCAATCTGCGGCATTCATGGAAGCAGCCCGTGAAGATGGCTAGCTGGTGCCTGTCCTGTGGAAACAAAGAGCAAAGCCCATGTGCATTCCGAGTAATGGTTGGGAGCAGTTCAATCCCAGGAATCTAAGGGATTTTTAACTTTTAGCTTCCATTTCTAGGGTCTTCCCCACCCTAGAAAACAGCTAGGGAGCAGCCACAGAGGTGGGAAGAGGAAGGTGTGCATTTTCTGCTTCACAAGCTCTAATTTGATGACCAACGAGCTATGGTGGCACCCTAGGGTGGGGACAGAGGCCTGTCTGGGATCCTCCCTTCTTCCCGCAGTGGGGAGATGATGGCTGGATTTGGCAGACAGTGCAAGCCATCCATCGAGAGAGAGGGGAATTGCGGTGCGAGCCAAGTCAGAGGGGTCAGATTGTCTGCAGGACACCGGCTGGACAGATGGAGGCCTGAACAGTCCAAGCATGTCACACTTGTGCTGCAGCAGGGATTTCCTGATTTTTTGGGGGGTGGGGATAGTGTTCTGATTCTGATGGATAAAAGTTACATGTAAAAACAGATATGCTTGTCAGGTGCAGGGAAGAACTCAGCAAAGTGCACTCACATTTTAGGCTTTGTTTTCTTGTTTCTTGTTTTCTTCTGGGAAGAGGGCAGTTCAAAGTTTTGAAGACAGGTAGTCACTAGAGACACAGTGGTCTGCTACTAGTCTTGTTCTGGCCAGCTGTTGGTCTTGGAGCAGAAGCTGTTGGAGTTCAGTAGTAAGTTTGGGTCTTGAGATAGCCAGCCATAGGTCTTACAACAGGCCTGTATGTGCCTTCAGCCACCATTAGCCATAAGCAACATGTGGGTGCTAGTGTTGGCTGTGCCAGCCACCTTTCATCGAAGGATACAGTCACTTAGAGGGTTTGGTGTTCTTGAGGAGGCCAAGGAATCTGGCTTCAAGCTCCTGAGTTATCTCGGCATGCCCTTTAGCCGGGCACTTGGGAGAGTCTCCTGTTAGGTGGCTTCAAGTCAAGGCAGTGTTGAGTGGATGCAGCATCCTCAGATCACCTTGGCCCAAGGACCTCCCTCTTAGGAGGCCAGCAGGAAGGATTAGGAAGACTCCACACTGTCCCCTGGGGCCACCCCCACCAGAGCGAGGGGTAGCCTTCACTGAGGCAGCCTTGGCCTTGCTGCACTGCCCCCATCCCTGAATGGCGCTATTGAGTAAAGGTTCCTCCAGAAGAGGGGGCTGCCCTGCTGGCCCCTGTTGCCCTACTGTACTGCCCCATCAGAGCTGTCCCTTGCAAGGAGGCCTGGGTTCTGATTGTGAGCTCCTGTGCCTGTTTATAGGCCTTCTGCCCCAGGGTTCCCTGTCCCTGTTTGCAAAACAAGCAGGCTGAATCTTGGGTTGTGGAGCAGCTAGGATGTGGCCCTGATTCTGAATAGGTTCTAGGTTCATGAGTGCTGCATGACCCTGCAAGGGGAGGATGGCCAGTCCCACTTACATCTGAGGAATTGCAGGCCTGGGAGCTTTGATACATAATCCAAGTCCCTAGGCCAGAAAAAAGGGGGTACCAGACCCCAGACAGCTTACCCACTGCCAACCTGCTGGAGTTCATTCCCATGCTTCCTCCAACTAGATCTACTAATGGATGGGTTTGAGATGGCACATCCCCCCTCAAAGCACACTCATCTGTCCAAGATACGCAGGACAGCAGAGTAGATCAGGAAACTCCTCCCAGTTGCGCACGCCCACAGTGTGCATGGGGACTGCATGTCCTGCTCCCTTCCCATCTGTTAGTGTCTCTCTGGGGGATGCGCCCAGCTCTCGGGGCAAGGGTAGGGGCGGTGGAGGTCAATCCATTCACTCATCCTGCAAGCATTGGCTGACTCCTCACCAGGCCTGGCTGGACTGGGACTCCGGGATGAGTCATAACTGCGGGGGTGTGCAGGGTTCCCACCAGCCCCTCCCCCTGTGGCTCCCCCATGACCTCATTCCCCTCATTCCTGCTGCCTTTACTCAGCCTCCTGGGCTGAGTGAGTCTCACGCCCAGGGTGTCTTTGAGGGTCTGCTGCGTGTCCCGGCTTCCACCACCACCTTCTTGTCACCCACCGAGGTATTTTCTATGGCTGTTTCAACAGAGGACTGAAATAAGCACCACCTGGCTGGGGAGAGAATGCACTGCACACCTCTCGCTATTCCCTGGGGCCCCACCAGTCTGCTTCTGAGGTCACAGCTCTCTTCTTTTAGTGTGATGCCTGTCTTTTTGATGCCATTGCCTTGGCAGCTGCCCTGGTGATCAGGGTCATCTCCCCAACCCTGGAGCTTCTACTGAGTGCACCTGCCAATACCTCTATCTCCCTTGAGGCTTTCTTCACCGCCCAACAGGGATTGAGATGGATGACCTTTGAAGGGGTGGGACTAGGATTTTAGCCAGCCTCAGACCAGGACACCCTGTCTGCCACCTGAATTAGACCTGCCCTGGCTTCCTGCTGATGGGATGTCCCTGGGCTCATCCTGGGCCCTGTCTCCTGGGCTCCTGCAGTCCCACCCATCTCCCCACTATCCATTCTCACTATGGCCACCAGCTGGTGCCAAACAGAGGCAGGTGATGGCATTCCCTGCCCAGGAGCCTTGCACACTGCCTACTGGCCTCCCCCTGGGTCTCTGCCTGTTTGATGATTGGCCTCTTGGTCCTTTGCTCTTCATGTTGCCATACATGCAACTGGTGAACTTCATCCCTCAGCCTGGGTCCCTTCTGCCAAGCACACCACCCTCTCCTGGCTCTGGACCTGGCCATTGCCAAGGGCTAGGATAGGTTTTGAGTGGACAGAGCACTTGAGATATACTCAGTCCCCATGCTATGCCCTGTGTTGCCTTGGGCCCTGTACCCCCACTAGCTCCTACTTGCTCCCCATGCTGTTCCTTCCTGCGGGTTGTTTGAGATCCCCAGGAGCAGATCAACTCTCTCCGGGCACTGGCTGAGCCAGAGTGTGCCAAGCTGAGGTGCCAGTGTTGGCAGGGCATGCTGGGGGTCACCAAAAAAGGGAGCAGCCCTCTCCATACTGCAGCCTTTCCTCTTCCTGTGCAAGCCAGGAAGAGCATGTGAGAAGCCAGGGACATTGGACAGGGGTTACCAGCTGGAGGACATGACTCTGATCAGATGGGGTCCCTGACGAGAAGGGTCCATGGCTAGTACTAGCTAAACTGGAGTGTCCCACAAGCAGCAGCAGATACATCAGCTTCCCTAGTTTTTCTGGAGGATGTAGAAATCTGATCCCTGGTATAGCATCCCCTGAGCAGCTCCTCGTGCCTTTGCACCCCCACCCCCGCCCTGTGAGTACTGACTGGTGTACAGGGTGCAGGGTTTGTTGAATCTGGATGGATCCAGTGAGGAGTTTACAGCAAGGGACAGCCATGACCAGTCTTGGGGTGGGGAGCTGTAGCAGTGGGTTAGTGGCTTGCAGCTCCTTGGTGGGTGACTGATGTGTTGGAAGGGATTGATGGTGGCAGGGCCACCAGTGTGTCTGAGGCTGAGGCTGCTGGGCGGTGTGCAGCCAGCTGCAGTCAGGCCTGTGTTTTCCAAGGAGAGCCGCAATCACATTCCTGGAATCAGAACTCTTGCCCACATGGAGCATGTCTCTGGGCGGATACAGCCCTCCCACCACTGGTCATCTTGACCTTGCTCTTGGAAGTGGAGTTCCCGGGGGTGGGGCTGGCCCCTGGCCTACTGCTGAATGTGAATTCCTTTTGGTTGTTCTTTGGATTTTGTCAGCTGAGAGTGTCTTTTTTGTAAGGAGAGTATGTTATGGTATAGGGTGGGGCTGAGCCAGTGGCAGCAGCTCTGGGCTGGCTCCCGGCTCCAGCTGCTGGAAGTGGAGCCCAGGCAAGGGAGAGAAATCTAGGGGCACCTGACTACCCTCCTGCCAGCCCATGGTTCAAGCTGAGCTCTAGCCACCACACTGGGTAGCACTGCCCTCTGGGGCCCTCTGTAGTATGTACATGCTGAGAACTTGAACACCTTCCCCTTTGCCCCTGCAGGCTGGTCTGATTCGCATGGAAGAGGAGGAGTTCTTCATCGAGCCCCTGGAGAAGGGGTTGGCGGCGCAGGAGGCTGAGCAGGGCCGTGTACATGTGGTGTATCGCCGACCGCCCACTCCCAGGCCGCTGCCTCTTGGGACGACACCACAGGCCCTGGACACAGGTGAGGCCACTGGTGGTGAGTGGGCTGTATGGAAGCTACAGGGTCTCTCCCCTTGGCTGTCTTGACATTGTACCCTGGGTGAAGGCAGGCTCCCTGGGTGGGAGGATTCAGGCACTCGCTGAAGCTCTGAGGGTCAGCCATGAGCCACTGCCTCATGGAGCACATGGCACAGAGTAGGGTGCTGGTCTGGGGATCCCTGATGTACGAACTGAAGGTTACCCAAGGGACCACTTTGCTGCCAGGGGCTAGCAAGTGCGGAGGAGCGAGGGAGGCCCAGACCAGGCCTGCACCTTTGGCTCGAGGCCACACCTCTGCTGGATTCTAACAGGCCCTTTCACCTGCTGTGGTCCCAGCACTTGGCTGGCCCCTGGAGGATGAGGACTCCCAAGTGCTCCTTGTAGATTCTGCCAGGGGGATGTGCTGATGGCAGCTCCTGAAGTGCTGATTTGCACAGCTTGCTCCCAACCAAAGTGTCCCCAGCAAGGCTGGGAGAGCGACTGGGTAGTCAGGCCTGTGTCAGCCTACACCTCCCCAGTGCTCTTTGGAAGCCAGGGTGGGAGGCTGACCATAGCCCTGAAGCTTGCAGTTCCCAGGGTCTCCTGACTTGTGCCTGAGCTCTCAGCCTCTGGCTCCAGGGCTCCTGGTTGGGAGAGCTGCACAGGGGGTGGTGGCCTCCATAGACCTGGGGTGGTGGTACCCAGACAGGTGCATCTGCCTGTTCATGGCTGGATCACCCACGAGCACTGCACCGTGCTGAGATGCCCTCATCCCTCCAGGGTGGCCCTGCTCATCTGTTTCAGATCCCTGTACTCCCTGCCTTGGAGCATCATTTGAATGTAGCCTGACAGGGCTCCATTCTCAAGTCCAGAAGCCCAGGGTGGCAAGATGTACCTGCCACGGCCCCTCCACTCCCAGCCCCAGCCTGTGTCTCTGCTGCTTCATGCCTGCCTCTTTCTGCAGTGAGCTGGACAAGGAGTGTCCTTGGCAGGCAGGAGTGAATGGGGCATCACTTACTGGTGGGTGCCCTTCGTCAAGTTTAGGCCTCTGCTTACCCACCTGTCCAATGGGCTTAGAAAGTCCTGTCACTTGGAGGGCCCAGATGGAGGCATCTTCTGCTGAGTGCTAGCTATTTCTGGGCCAGGGTGATGCCAAGGACCTCTGTTCAGGCAGGGTGGGGGAACTTGCACAGCGGAGCTGGCCAAGTGCCCTCGGCTGCGCCTGCGATCCCAGGCTCCATATGGTACTGCTCTTAGCATAGCCACTCTTCCCCTGTGACTGACTGCCTGGCCCGGTTTGCTGGCCTTCTGCTCGTATTCTGGTGTCTTCTGCTGAACGCTTTCCCTCCACCCCCCATTCCTACAAGTCCAGTCCACACATCTCTAATACAAGCGCTAAATTCTGAACCTGGAGAAGGCATCCCAACTCTGAAGATGCCCAGAAACCAGTGGCCTTGGCAGGTGCTGGGTGAGAGCAGCTGCACAGGTCAGGGGTGAGGCTGGCCTGGAGGAGGGTGGGCTTGGAAGGAGCTGAGCCCATCCTGGCTGGGCTGTGAGCCCAGGGCCTCCCACTGGGATCTCAGGCTGTGGGTGTGCGTGTGGCCCTGGCCCAGGTGCCTCTGTCTGGTGTTAGAATGACCCGGCGCAGGTGAGTTCTGTCCTCAAAGTGTGTGTCCCTCTGGAAGTGCCTGCTTGTTCCCACATGGCTCAGCACTGAGGTCAGGTCCATGACTGGAGGGGATCCAGACCCAGTTTGAGTTGGGCTGGGCTCAGCTGAGGGCCTGGGGTGAACTCGGAAGGTGCCAGCAGCCTGGGCTTGGTCTAGGCCCAGATTGGAAGCTGAGCAGTGTATCACAGCCATGTCCTGTGCTGGGCATAGCAAGGGGACAGAATTTGCTGGGTCTGGGACCCAAGGACATCAGGGCAAGGATTTTCTCTGGCTGAAGCAGGCAGGCGGGAGGCACTGGCTGAAACTCCTCCAAGGCAACTTCTGCAAGTGGTTTTGTTGTGGTGGGTGGTGGTGATGGGACCCTGAACAAGGGTAGGCACTTGTCGTGACTTTCCACATACACTCCAGCCAGCTGGCCCCCAAGGCCCTCATGGGTTCTCCATGGATTGCTGAGGACATTGTATTGTGTTCCCTGAGGAGCCAGTAGCTGCCTGGGTAGTCCCAAGGCTCACGGAGTCTCAGAGAATCATTGGCTCTCAACAGAGAAGATCAAGGTTTTCATGTATTTATGCAGACCTAAACGAGGGCTGGCTGCAGGTGCACCAGGCAGCCTAGTACACGATGGTGCTGCCTTCAGCTCTGGTGCGGGGTTTGGGCAGGCCAGGGGCTCAAGAAGGCAAAGGGACACTTCCTTGCTTCACTGGCCATGCTGGGGACCTGAGAGCCAAGGACCCGAGACAGAGCTCTGAGACCAGAGATCAGTCTTCTGGGGAAAAGTGATGGAATTGTCTTCCAGGTCTCCCTCTGGTGACGTGCCCTGCAGCCAGCCCTGTGCCCAGAGATGTTACATGAATAGGATGCAGTGTGCCAGCAGCTCCCATGGAATATGTGTGCATACTTGTGTGTGTGCATGTGTGTGTGCCAGCACATGCTCATACAAGAACATAAACAGGACCCAACTCTGACTTCTCTCCTAGCTTTCATGCCTCGTCCCTTCCTGAGATTTTGGAGTAATGTGGGATGGAGAGTACCCCTTTCACTGACCATACCTGAGGAATTCTGTTTGTCTCCTCTGACTGTTATAAATGTGACTTACACAGCTGGAGCTTATGGGCTCAGGTTCTGGAGACTCCCAAACCAGTGAGACCTGGCTAAAACCAGGTACAGCAGGACTGCCCTATCACCTGTCCAGGGGGAAGCTGCTCCTGGCCTCATCCTGTGCCAGGGTATACCTACATTCCCTGGTTGGTAGCCATGCCACTGCAGTCTCTGCCTTTGTGGTCACAGTGCCTCTGTCTCTTCCTTGTTTCCTTCCTCTATGAGTTACTAATTTATTTACTTGAAAGTCAGTGTGACACATAGCAATAGAGATCTTCTATCCTTTGGTTCGCTCCCCAAACAGCCACAAGAGCCAGGGCTGGTCCAGGTGGAAGCCAGAGTTCAGGAACTCCATCTGGGCCTGCTACATGGATGGTAGGCAGTGAAGTACTTGGACTGTTTTCTGCTGCTGTCCCAGACACATTAGCAAGGAGCTGGATCAGAAATGGAGCCACTCTAACTGGCACTCCCATATGGGATGCTAGTGCCTCCATTGATTTTGTCTGTGCTGGTCCTGCCCTTAAAAGGACTCATTGGGATAACCTAGGATGATCTCTTACCCAGAGACCCCTAATCTAATCACATCTACAAAGATCTTTGATTTTTGCCTCATGGACATCCCCTGTAAGGCTGACTATGGCAAAGGACAGGAAGTATCTCCGTGAGGTATTCAAGGAGAGGAGGAACTGCCTCTAGCCTCAGCCAGGCAGGTGGCACACACCCACCCAACAAGGCTGGGCCAGGTAGTGAAGGGTTGCCCCCACCCAGCCTGCAAGCAGGGAAAAGCCAGCCTTGCTATTGCCTTGGAGATTCCAAGTGGTGAGCTGGGAGTATGGCCTTTCAAGCTCACAGCGCCATCTGCAGGGAGTCCTGCAGCCATCCTAAGACAAGGCAAACTCAGCGGTCAGCCTGGGCAGACAGGCAGTGGTGATAAGGATGGAGGGAAGAGGATGTGGTGCCCACCCCTTCCCAGGCTCCTAGATCCCACCTTTCATTGTCAGATGGGTGATGCAGAACACGTATCTGCCAAGAAGCAGGCAACAGCACAGGATGGCAGCTCTGGTTCCAAGCAGACATGAGACCTCTCTCCTTGGTTTACATTACCTTGAACTGTTGGAGACGTGTGTCTAGGGCAGCTGGTCTCTCAGCCAAAGAATGTGCACATGAACCCTCCTGGGTGTAAAGCATGGTTCTGAGTTCCCACAAAACACCGTGTAGACCCAAAGCACATCATGTCCCTGGCTAGCCACTTATATTCCTTGCCCTCCTCCTCGGGTTGCACTCCCCAGGTGTCTCCTGGACACAACTATGGAGAGGAGGTAACTCCTATCCCATGGCCCTGCTGCTTGGGCTGGCCTGCTCAGGAACCCCACTGTGCCTGCTGCCCCAGGGCTGAAAAAAGAAAAGAAGTCAGACAACTGTGCTAGTGACCTTGGCCAGTGCCAAAGCCTCTGCCTGCTGCTGTCAGGCTGCACTGTCCTCCCTGACGGGCTGGGGAGGCATACCACTTTGGGAGCCACTGTGCCCTTCTGCTGTGCCCGCCACTGCCAAGGCCAGTCTGCAGGGGGCAGGGAGGGAGAGACTGGGGCACCTCCAGGTGGCTAAGTCTCCACTTGATGACCCACTGCCAACCCTTTCTTACCGGGCTGGGAAGTCTCTTCCTGCCACCCCCGCTGCCCTGTAACTATAGCCTTGAGCCTGGCAGGAATCCGCTGGCTGCCTTCCTGAGAGCTTGTTGGAGGCTTGCTGAGCTGGGAGCTGGCTGGGGTGGAGTGTGGAGTTGGGGACTTAGTGGGGGCTACAGCCTGGAATGACCCAGGGTGGCCGCCTGGCCCCAAGGATCTTTCAGAAGGGACTGTGGCCATCTCTCTTATCTTCCTGAGACAGCTTGGATCAATCGTTAGAAGCAGGGTGGCTTAAGACAAGCACCCCCTTGGGGGCTGGAACGAGAGTGCTCCCTCTGCTCCTGTCCCTCACCCCTCTCTGCTTTTGGAATCTTCTGTCCTTTGGCTATGGCCATCTTATTGTGATCTTTGCCTCTGTGGTCACCTCCCTGCCTCAGTTGCTGGTCTTCCTCGGCCCCTCTGCTGGGGGCTCGTCATGGCGAACACTTTCACCCATGTTTGCAAAGTCTCCTTGGCCATGTGAGGCTGCACTTTGGGGGTTTAGGGAGTGCATCTGTAGGGGGTGTGGTCTGAGCTGAGTCTGCAGCGTGAGCTCTGTGTGCAGGTGCTCTC